TCAGTCTCCTGAGTAGCTGGGATTACCAGGCGCCTGCCACCACGTGGGCCTGGCTAATTTTTGTATTTTTAGTAGAGATAGGGTTTCACCATGCTGGCCAGGCTGGTCTCGAACTCCTGACTTCAGGTGATCCACCCGCCTCAGCCTCCCAAACGGTTTGGGATTATAGCCGTGAGCCACCGCGCCCAGCCCCACAGTGCCTTCTCAACAGCACCTCCTCCAGGCAGACCTCATGGCCCCTGATGGTGCTGCCAATCCAGAGCTGTGGGGCGGGTTCTGGAAGGGGCAGGACTGTAGGGTTCTTAGCCAGGCCTCACTTCATTCTCACAGCCGCCCCCGGGTGCAAGGCTGATTCCCCACTTTACAGGTAGAAAAATGGAGGCTGGTCTAGTGGAGGCAAGGACCCAGATGAGTTTACCTGGTCGTAGTGAGGAGTCCGCGGTCATAGAAGTGGAGCTTTGGGGCCAGTTCGGGGATGCCATGCGCGGCCCCGACCCGCGCCCGCACCTCGGGCAGGCACCCACCCTCCTCCTGGGCCATGCTGCTGCGGGGACACGGCTGCCCTGTCTCGAAGTCCACCTCAATCACCCATCCCCTCCTTTCCCCCTTCCCTCCTCCCCCTGCAGAGGAGGCTGCCAGACCACCAGCGCGACCCCTATCCCGGCCCCTATCCCAGATGGCGACATTGGGCGCAGAGAGGGCGGGCTTGGATATTTACACTCTGGGGCTGCAGGGCTCGGGGAAGGGGCAGGGTGCCCCGCAGCTGGAGGAAGGACCTGTCTTCCTCTTTCCCGCCCTCCGACTGGGAGAGGGTCGGAGGTGGGCGACATCCGGAGCAAAAGGGTCTCGAAGGAGGCCGGAGTCAGAACTCACCGCCAATCGAGAGCGCCTGGCGTGGGCACCTGTACTCCGGGCTAGGCCTGTGCGGCGATCCTGGCCACATCCTCAGCACCAGCCCGCAATGGTTGGCTTTCCGCCAAGAGAAAATAGCCAATCAAAGGAAGGCACTGGCAGCCCGCCCCCTACCGCCAGCCAATGAGCTCAAGGCTTGTGGCCCTCTTCCAGCCTGGGTGGAGCAGGGACTGCTGAGAGGTTTCCTGCTGTGCGGGTTTAGGGGCTTCTCCGTGGTCTGGCCCCGGCCTCCCCCTCCACCGTCAGGTAGCAGCACCTCCACCGTCCCCCTCCAACTGCTCTCCTGCCTCCCGAAGTCCTTTATGCTTCCTAAAAGCATGAGGTTTGTAGGCACTGTGGAGTCCCTGAATTCTCGTGGGCAGGAGAGGGGCCTAGGATTAGCTTTCATTTTTACTTTGTGTTTGTATTTATTTATTTTGTTTTATTTTTGTTTTGTTTTGTTTTGAGACGGTCTCACTCTGTCGCCCAGGCTGGAGTGCAGTTGCTCGACCATAGCTCACTGCAGCCTTGAAATCTTGGGCTCAAGCCATCCTCCTGCCTCAGCCTTCGGTGTAGCTGGGACTACAGGTGCATGCCACCTTGCCCAGTTTTTTTATTATTATTTTTTATTTTCAGAATTTTTGTAGAGACAAAGAATGTTGTCCAGGCTGGTCTTAAACTCCTAGTCTCAGGCGATTCTCCCACCTCCGCCTCCCAAAGTGGTGGGATTATAGGTGTGAGCCAGCCTTCATTTTTTAGAACGAATCTTGGGTCTAGGCTATGCTGTCCAGTAGAACTCACCAAGGTCTAGGCCGCACTGTCCAGCAGAACTTCTTGCGATGATGTAAATGTCCTATAATCTGTGCTGTTCCATAGGGTAGCCATTAGGAACCTGTGGCTATTGAGTGGTTGAAATGTGGCCAGCGTGACTGAGGAACTGAATGTTAAGTTTTATTTTATTTATTCATTTTTTTGAGATGGAGTCTTGCTCTGTCGCCCAGGCTGGAGTGCAGTGCTGTGATCTCGGCTCACTGCAACCTTTGCCTCCCAGGTTCAAGCAGTTCTCCTGCCTCAGCCTCCTGAGTAGCTGGGATTACAGGCGCCTGCCACCATGCCCGGCTAATTTTTGTATTTTTATTAGCGACGGGGGTTTCACCATGTTGGCCAGGTTGGTCTCAAACTCCTAATCTTGTGATCCACCCGCCTCGGCCTCCCAAAGTGCTGGGATTACAGGTGTGAGCCACTGCACCCGGCAAATTTTATTTTAATAAGTTAAATAGCCACATGTGGCTAGTGGCTACTGTATTGGACAGCACAGAGTCTTGCCGCTGGAAGTATAACCTGAAGATGTGCAGTCTCAGCCCCTGCAACATCTTGGGTTCCTCTAGGAGATGCCCTAGGGAAGCTTGTTGGAAATGCAAAAATTAGGCCGGGTGTGGTGGCTCACACCTTTAATCGCAGCACTTTGGGAGGCTGAGGCGGGTGGGTCACTTGAGGTCAGGACTTTGAAACCAGCCTGGCCAACATGACAAAACCCCATCTCTACTAAAAATACAAAAATTAGCCGGGCATGGTGGCAGGCACCTGTAATCCCAGCTACTCAGGAGGCTGAGGCGGGAGAATAGCTTGAACTTGGGAGGCACAGATAGCAGTGAGCAGAGATTGCACCACTGCACTCCAGCCTGGGTGACAGAGCAAGACTCCATCTCA